CCCGGGAATTAATTAGAAAGTGACGACAAGGGGCAACAGGGGTTTCACATTTAGTGCAGTGCAGTGCGACCATCAGTTAGTCAAGTTGACGTACAATATCATCACCATCACCATCGCCACCTCCATTAACCACATAAACGAGAACTAATTGCAGCCATGATGGCAATTAATATACACTTTAACTCTACAGCTTTGATTATTATTTTAATTAGTAATGCACAGCTAAAGAGTTGCCCTGTCCTGATGTGTCGAAAGCATTACCAAGCACATTTTGCATTATATTCCCAGGTTCAAGTTTCTAAAAATAGCTTAAAATGGCAATCTAAATCTTCACCGAATCCCAGGATCTTATTATGTACTATTTTGTGATTGTGTCGATTGATTGAAAAGAATTATTTTAATTTTGCTTAATAACTTAATTGTACTGAATTTTCTAGTTTGTCTGGTGCAAAAATGCAAAAAACAATCAATGAGGGTAATATCATTGAGTGAATTTTAACTTGCCTGTTAATCACTCAAGGTGAGCATTTAAAAATTATAAATAGTTAAGAGAACAGCAAGCTGTTTATTAATTGCAATGTAATTACAACTTTAAACAGGTAGCGGTTAAGGTTGATTGTTTCCATAAATAGGATTCAAAAAGAACACAAAGTATTTACTTCGTTTGTTTTGGGTTATGCATGTGTAAAGGCTTCTACACTGTTTAACGACCTTCATAGCATGATCAGCAAGCAAACTTTGTAAACAGTTGCATTTGTCAAACTCCACTGGTCACTGAATGTACCAAATTTAAACTGAGTGGCCTTGAAGAAGGGTACTCCTCAAAACTGCTGAAGAGTAAATTTCAAAGATTTTACAAAAAAGTATATGAAATATAAAAATAGTTAGAACAGAAAAAAGCCGGTTATTCCTGGTAAGAACATGAGCAAGTGTTTTGTGAAAACCAAATACACACTTTGAAAGTTGTGTGATTTCCATTGCTAATTAAAGACACGAGTTAGCTTGGGGAGAAAGAGAGATCTACTGCGGCAAAAAGGCAGTGCTGGGAGAAGTTTAGAAAAAGGTCAGTTAGATGAAAGTGGAAAACCACAACTGTTCTCTTTCAGTGCATTTGCATGGCCACTGGATTGCGGCCAACTGACAGCTGCAGTGAGGCGGCCAATGGTACAGCGAGAGCTGCTGTAAGTGAGTGACCACTCTGGAAGCTCTTAGCCTGTTTCTGCATACACTCTAACATGCATCCAGTTTCAATTTCTTTCCCGGGAATTACGTCAGTGGTCAGAGCAATACGTCATCATGTACAGGTGTGTGTGTGAGTGTGTCTGTGTTAGCGGTAGAGGTGAGAAGTAGCAGGAGCAAGCTGTTGCAGCTTGCTGACTAATCGGCGACAGTGTCCTCTTTCCCCAGTGCTTCTGCTTCAGTGCTGCTGAACGTCACACTGTGGAAAATGCACCATGTGATTGGGCTGTATATAAACGATCAGAGCGCGCTGATGCCGGCCAGTCACTCCAGGACAATACAATTGAAACAACGGAAACAATCAACTGATCACAAAGACAAGCAACCAAATTGTTGTAGTCACCCAAATATAAATAATCCAAGTTCATCTAAACAAGTGCAAATTTCTTAACCCAAAACTCTGAGCCACAAAATGGGCCCCCTCCTGTTGATCATCGTCGATGAGTCGCTGAGCATGCGATCTCGTAAATATGAAATTCTCGATGGCATCAACCAGTTTATCGATGTTCAGCGAAAAGTGGACAATGAAGGCAGCCGCTTGATTCTAGTCAAATTCAACAACTCTGTGACGCTGTTGCACAAAGGTAATCACATTGAGAAAAGCATTACAATGAAATGAAGTACTAATCAGTGCCAATCTACCCACTAACTACAGGAACTGACCTAAACCTCGTTGAGCCTCTTCGCTCGAGCGACTACAACCCGGGTGGGCGAACTGCCTTCTTTGACGCCGTTCAGCAAGGCATTGATTTGGCGAATGAAATCAAGGAGAAGGACGAAAGGGTGGTGTGCATTATCATCACTGACGGCGAAGACACCGCTTCCCGAACGAATGTCTCCTGCAAGGCAGTGAAGAAGCTGGTGAAGAAGTACGACACAAAGGCCGACTGGTCCTTCACGTACATCGGCAAGCCACCTGAATACTGGAGTCGGAAGAAGCCAGTCTCCAAGGTGACCTACGAGTGCCATGCGCCCAAGCTGCGCTCCAGCAATGCCACCAACCTGTCCCGACGCCTGCGAGAGTACGCAATGAAGCGGCAAATGGTCGCCAACTGACGATTGTTGACGCCTCTTTTGTTGTTTCATTCTCTCAAAAGGGGCGGCCAGCACTGGGCGCACCACCACCAGCACCTAATAGAGCTCAGTCGATGTTGTTCTGCACACAGCGCCCTGTGCGTGCACCATCGAATAGTCAACAGTCTATTCGTAGTCACCTCACAATGTCACTGCACCTGTATACAAATCACCATCACCATCACCACCGCACCTTCTTTTACCTCATCACCAAAAGAACAATTAATAATAAATGCGTTGAAAACAGTACTTTCCATCTTTTTGTTTCAATTTATTTTTACTTTTAATTAATTATTTATAGCTAATAACATGCTTTTTAACATTGACTTTCAACATCGGCACTCACTCACAAGTAAGGGCAGAACAATAATCAGGCACCGAAATAAGGGCAGTTGTAGCGGAAGAGAATTTACAAGATGAGTTTACCGTGCGTGGAAGCGGCGGTAATCACTGATGCTCAAGAAGTGCTGGACGAAGAATATTGATCATTAGAAGAGCAAGATTTGCTTCTCTTGAGCTTTCGGCAATGAATAAGCTCCGAAAAGTCGTAGTTCTGCGATAAAAATGGGTGCTCAAGACATTCGGCAGCAGTTGGTCGCAATTTAGGGTCCGGTTTGAGCATCATATCGAGAAAGTCTGCAAAGACATTGGCGATGTAATCAGGCCATTTCTCCTCTTTGGTCAGTCGTTCGTAGACGCTCGATTTCTTGGTGACGTGTCCACTGCGAAGCCTTGAGCCACGATAGTAGTTCTTAGAGTACTTGCCTTCAGCAATGAGATAGCTAGGCAGTGGGCCAAAGTATTCGTGAACAAGAGCCAAATGTTTCATATCTCGTTCATCGCCGCCGCAGTTCCTCGGGTTCAGCAGATAATCACCGGTAGCCAGCTCATAGGCTAAACAAGCCACAGACCAAATGTCGGCTGAAGGATCGTAATCGTAACCGACAATAACTTCAGGTGATCGGTATTGCCGCGTCTGAATGTCTTCAGCAAAGTGCTTATCGATCCAGCAGGCATTACCGAGGTCACCGATTTTCACTTTGATATCACACACATCAAATGCCGGATCTGGACGCTTCACCGCCTCATCTTCAAGCAATCGTTCGCCCATGCAGATAATGTCCACGGCATAACCTGGATAGGTTTTCCCTTCGAATACTTTAGAACCATCAGGAACTCGAAAACTACTGTCAGCAATTGACTCCTGTGTTTCTCCATTAGTGGCGGGTAGATCGATCATTTCACCGCTGTTGCAGTTTTGTCGTTTTGCCTGCTTTTTCTGTTTCTTTTTCATCTTCTTTTTGTTACGTCGCACATTTTGAGTACGCTGAGCATCCAGTTGTTCCTTTGGTGCATTGCTTTTGAATAAAATCGGAAGTGGAATTCGGTTGTGCAGTCGATAGAACGCCTTAAATGCCAATTTTTGAAGTGAGATGTTGTCAATTTCAAGCAAAATATTTTCCGGCTTGAAATCAGTGTGAATAATTCCGCATACTCGGTGAAGGTAGTCAATTCCTAGGAGAATCTGCTTCATAATAGTGCGTACATTTTCTAGTGGAATACCAACATAATCAGTTTTGATGATCAATTTAAGCAAGTTATCGCCCAACACTTCAAACACCATGCAGTCGTGAGCTCCATTAATGCTGTTGATGGTGAAATCGTCAAGCAGCGTGATGACGTGCTGTCGACCAGAATTAGAAGGATCTTTTTGGCGAATGTGACGCAGTATGTCGATTTCATCTTCAGCCACTTCTTTGTAATGCGAAGAGGCTTTCATCACTTTGATGGCAACAAATTGACTGCATTTCAAGTCCCAGCAAAGCCAGACAGTTGAGAAGTGACCCCATCCAAGTTTGACAATAACTGAATATCGCCCTTGGAAGACGTCAAATATGTTGATCGGAAAGTAGCCACCTTCATCATAATCACCTTCGTCTTCCGGTGCTTGATCATCATCTTCATTGACATCTTTGGCGAATTGAAGCAACGCTCCTGGATTTGCAAACATGCTTGCGAGGTCTGCAATGTATCACACTTTTGGTAGACACGTTGTCACGCTTGAAAATGGTAATGAGAATAGACGTTAGGTTTTAGAACCGTTAAAAGCAAGCTGATAATTTAAAACAATTCTTCTCATTCATGTCACAGAGGAAAATAGAACTTTGACCAAAGAAATGTGGTCAATAAAATAACGCTTTTCAAGCCTGCTCGCCGCAGATTTTTCCAAAAAAAATAAACACACGCGCCTTTGCCCATCGGGCTGCCATCTGTGGACACAAACTCGAGTTTATGTTTATTTGCTGTGACTAGCGCTCATAGTGACCAAATGGAAACAGTAAACTCTTGGAACCGTTATCAATTATACAAGCTGTGATCGCTAGAACGAGCTATTACTGATAGTTTCAATAAATTACTGTTTATTGTCAATGTTAGTTTACAGCACGAAATCCTTTTTCCGGTTATTCAAACCGGTTGTAAGTGTGTATCACAAAGTTTTATATGAAATTCGGCAATCACAAAATATTGAGACCATAAAGGCACAAAGCTTGATCCGGAAAAATAATTTTTTGCACAGTGTTGTCCACACAATAAAAAGATATGAAAAATAAGTACAAAACATCTCTATAATTTAAAACAAAAATATGACTAGACTTTTTCAAAGGGCAGCGGAAAAGTGTCTAACATTAGCTGCTGTGATCGATCGTTGTTGTATGCACATCTTGGACCATCATGTAGATCTGTAAGAAAAAGAAAACACAAGTTTAAAATATTGTTACTATAAATTTAAAAAAAAACAGTTTACCTCACTGATAATGATCCAATGCGAGCAACTTTCCAAAAACCTTATTCTAACCTCTCCAATCGGGTTCATTTCAGATGGTATTAGAGCACTAACAATGCCATCAGCAAAAGGGCCAAGGTCGATGAACTTATCTCCAGTGTGAGTTGATTTAACTTGCAAAGTTGCATTCTGTATAATATCACTGGGATGCTCAGGGTTGCCACTTCGAATCAGACACCTGTATGGTAATAAGGTAATCATTAAATAGAGAAAAATAAAAACATCATAACATTTGCCTTTTGAGATGGACGGGTGAATCAAACTGAAAAGTTATGTGATCATCCTTGACAGGGGAGAAACTCCAAAAATAGTTTCGTCCATTATAAGCATTGTTCAAACGGTAATTTTTGTACTCTTTTAGTGAGGTGTAAGTAGACTTGGCAATTGGATTGGCATGCGGTACAAAAAGTTTCACTCTTCCAAAGCCTTTATCTTTTAATTTTTGAATTTTTCCTCTTAAACTAGAGTGAGTGCCAATGTGTTGAAAAAGCGATGGTTTGTGACTAATCCAGATCTTTTGCTGTATAAGTAACAAATAGTTAGTAGTCATAATTTTTAAAACATATTTTTTACCTTTTGCTTTTTACAAGAATTGTTGTCCATGTCAAAACGACACACTTTAGTCTGCACAAAATTATCCAGCAACCAGTCAATAGGCTTGTCATTGTAAAACATCACAAAGAAAAGAATCAACTGTGACAAATCTGCCGATTTGAACAGCTTTCCAATAAATCCAAGTGAACAAAAGTCTAGAACCATCCAGTCTTTTGACAGTCCAGTTTGCTTGGTGACAAAGGTTTGCATTTGTGTGAGATAAGACGGTTTGGTGATAATGTCATCTTCAATTTGCACATAGTAGATTCCTTTACTTTTGCAGTACATCATTAGGTAGGCAAAATCAAGGTTCTGCTTACTGCGCCACTTAACTCGTTCCATTGTGTCACCAAGTGTCTCCCTAAGTGTTGACATGTCGGGATAATACGAAGCTGGCGGAGAGATTATTTCAATGAGGCCAGAGTTCACTTCAAGCTGAAACTGACTGGTAATCTGCTCAGCTGTTTTCCTGACAAAGTCAATGTCTGTCTAATAGAAGAAATGAAATGAGTTTATTTTGAAACTTTTAGAGCACCGCTAACTTCTACTTACCTCTGCAATGAGAACTACGAAACAAGCTTGTGATTGTTCAGTAGGCGACAAGTTGCCAATTAAGTTCTGCAACGTGCCGACCAGGTACGATTCAACTTTGCGTTTCACTGTTGGGATTCCAAAAACAAAGCGAACAGTTCGCATTGAGTCTGCAGCGATTCGAAAAGCTGGACTGATCGAGTTGTGCTTCCATGTTTGATGCAAGAACGGCAATAAACTAAAAACGGAAGGTAGGTGCATATACTCATCGGATGTTAATGAAAGCGGCTTTTTGGGATCTGCAAAGACAAATGACGTGTAACCGTTAGATTGCAGTGCTGCAGTTTGCCAAGTGTCATACTACACAAACACTTTTAATCAACTTCTAGTTTGCACTAGCATTTGGAACAACAGCATCGCAAGTTGGTGGGTAAATAGAGTGCATTGTCATTTCATTTTGATTGTAGTTGACACAACTGGTAAACTGAAAAGCATGCAAGCTAATTCAACAAAGGTTAGCCGGCAACAAATGGCGATTAGAGTGCTGCATGACAAAAAACGGTAGGGCGGACAGCCACTGGAAGGGCTGGTCAGAGCAATTCGCTTGTCATTGACATGTTACTCGTAGTGCTGCAATTTAAGACTAAATTAGCAAAACAAATTATAAACTGGCGCTGTCTCAGAGAAAGAAGCACTTCCGAATTGAGCAAACATTGACAAGAGGGCTATTGTGTGTGCATTATTTCTAAGATGGTTGCCTGACAAGACGAGTGTCTGTAAAACACTATCGCGCAAAACACAACACAACATGGTGCTCACAAAGGAGTATAGGACGTCCGGGTACAAAACAGAATAAGCATTGCAGAATGCAAAAGTAGCAACAGAACTAGAAGTACACTTGTTGAATAATGACGGACTGACAAACTGAGAATGGAAGTGTTTGGCGGCAAACAGTATCAGGTTCGCTAGGCTTCCAGGAAGTCTTCTCCACTTATCAAAAGCAAACACTAAATAAGTTCTACTAGTCTACTACACTTGCAAAGAGATAATTCACAGATGGCATTAGGTTTNGACTGACAAACTGAGAATGGAAGTGTTTGGCGGCAAACAGTATCAGGTTCGCTAGGCTTCCAGGAAGTCTTCTCCACTTATCAAAAGCAAACACTAAATAAGTTCTACTAGTCTACTACACTTGCAAAGAGATAATTCACAGATGGCATTAGGTTTCTGGATTTGATACTCTATTAACTAGACAAAAATTTGTAAAAGCAGCAAATGGTAGTTAGAGGCGGCCAACAGGAGGAAATTATTATAAGACACTGAACTAAAAAAAGACTTTCGGAGTTCTTTTTTCTGATGAGTTAATTTGCATTATTATTTTATTTACGGGTAGGTGACAATAGCGGAAACAAAAACGCCAACAACTACTTGTAAAATGACAAAAAAGCAATTGAACAACCCTGTCAAAGAAGCACCAGCATTACATTGCTGAGTTGTGCTGAACTGATGAAACAACTGAAATGATCTGATCACTCTCCTCTTGATTAGCGGCCCCTGACTGGCAGCCCAAGTAATGGAGACAGACTATCAATAATGCATTACAAAAAGAAGGTTTGCTGGCAGAGGGGGGTTCTGAAAACCAATCGGAACCGCAACCACCTCAGCTGTGACCTAAATGAGCAGCAGCAGCAGACGCTGAAGGGGCATATTTTTTTACCGTCACAACATTTGCACCTCATTCATTTCCTACACTCAGTAACAAAGTAATAGATCAGTTTGACAAGAACTCAACGACCAGGTAGAGAATAATTTGCAAAACAAAATCACTAATGAATTTGTCGACACTGTTCAGCAGCGTCGACAAACTCGTTTGCAGTCTGTCCTTAAAAGAACAACACAAACCACCGTGTGGCGACAGAAGGAAAGTCATTATTGGCAAAGTGTGACATTCATCGCCAATCAAACAGCACTTAAATCTATTTGACCTGTCTACCATATCGACGGAAAGCAAGTCAAATGACACATGAAGATATTTACCTTTAGCGGTGACGTCATTGCTGTTCAAGTTGCTCACGGTTTTGTCAGTGTCGTTATGCTGAATCAGCTCCCACAAATGGCGAATCTCCTTCATCAGCTGTTTGATCTCTTGACGGCGATCACTGGCATAGCTTTCTGCATAGCGTAATCGGTTGGTTAGATCGGCAAATCCAAAAGCAACCTGCTCTTCAAGTGAGCCACCAACAATCGAGAGAAGATAGTTTTGTCGCGCTACCATCAGGTTTGTTAGGTTTCTGGATGAATCGGCTTCATTTGAAGTTTGGTCGAGGTGATTGTTGAACTGCAGCTCTCGTGGTGCGTACAACGGAAATGGATCTAGAGCGGCATTTGGGGCAGTGGACGTCGATAAGTAGGTGAAGAGGATGGGTAAAATGGCTGTGACTATCATTAAGGTGCACAGAACCTGGCAGAGGCGAGACTTTCGAATAAGCATCTTCATCAAATTTTGATGAAACACTTTTATTT